ACGGGAGTAATGCTTCATACTGTGGGTGCCACAAGGATGTGCAACCCAGTTTCCTGCTTTCCAGATGCCTAGGTACGCAGTCATCCCTCACTGCAAAGGGGTGCTTGGTTTTAGGGTTCCCAGCAAAACCTGTAGGCACTCAGTTCCTTTACAATGAATCACATTGCTATTTGAATGTAACCTATGTACAACTTCTTTTGTAAATACAGGTCATCTGTAATACATGTTACATAGTATATTCTGTACAGTCATTTTAAAAATTCTATTTTTTAGCTAATATTTGCAAGAAAAAGTCTGCGACTATGAAATATGAATTCAAATCATTTTATAAATATTTTAGTTTACATTTGCTTAAATATACAGATGTAGAAAACATACATTTTGAGGAAGGAATATATTTTATATATTTTCAAATTATGATTTGGGGTTAAAAATTTAGCTTGGTGGTAAAGACAAGCTTAGCATATGCAAGCAAGACTGTGTTTTTTTTTCCTCCCAACACTGCAAAACAAACATATGAGCACTATTTAGCTATTATATATTGCTCTTTGGTTAGCAATTATCTAGTTTGCCTTATTAATTTTTCTATCTGAACATATACTAACTTTTTATGCTGCCTATTAATCTGTGCTCTAATTTTTATGAGTTGGACACATATGTTGAATGTAGAACATTCTTTCAGAAAATTTTGAAGACAAATTTAAGTTATTATTTCACAGACAACACTTTTCTCGGTAAGAGAAGAGTTATTATTCTAGGATAAATATACAATGTAGAGCTGAAGCACTATTCTCAACAGCAGCATTGTTTGATTTTCTATTTTAAAATATCCTTAAAATGTGGCATATTTACACAATGGAGTATTACTCAGCTGTTTAAAACAGTGACATCAGGAAATTCGAAGGGGAATGATGGAACTAGAAAAATCATCATCCTGAGTGAGTAACCCAGATCATGAAAGGCAAACATAGTATGTACTCTCTTATAAATGGATATTATCTGTAAAGTAAAGGATAGCTATGCTACAATCCACAGCCCCAGAGAGACTAGGAAACCTGGAAATCTGATGCACAAGGCAAACTCCCATGAACCTACAAGGATGACCTCAGCTAAGATTCCAACCAGTAGTGGATAGGTAGCCTAAGCTGGACATCTTTAATCAGATTTGAAACCTACTCCAATTGTTATCAGATCCTTACTGCAGTAACTGCTGGAAACAAATTTAGACATCTCCAGTCAAGCACTTGGACAGGAAATCCTTTTGAGGAGAAGAGAGAAGGATTATATGAACCTAGTAAGGATGAAGATGTAGGGGTGGGGTGAGTGTGGTGGGTGAAGAATGGGGGGGGGGTGTTAGGGTCATCATAAGGGAACTCACAGAAGTGACTGCTCCGCTCATAGATTATGGACTGTGGACCACAGCTATGGACCAGCCTAGGCCTTCTGCTTATGGGTGACAATTCTGTCACTTGGTCTGCTCATCCATCTCCTGGCCATGGAGGAACAGGACTGGTCCCTAATGCTTTGGCTGGGTTTTAAATATCTGTTCCTAATGCTGGGTTGCCTTACCCAGCCTTAACACAAGCAGAGGAGCTCAGTCCAACCTCAATTTGATATGCCAGGCTTTGTTGACACCCATGGGAGGATTTTGCCTTTCTGAGCAAAGATGGAGGAGGGGTCGATTGGGGCGGGGGAGGGGAGAGGAGGGTTTACTGTGGTCAGAATGCAAATTAATGAATACATTTAATTAACAAAGTTTTTCCTTATTAACATACTCTTAAAAAATAAAGCTATTCTAATATCTTCTTGAGTTACCTCAGAAAAATAGCATTTTTTTCTCTTTCTGACGAAACAGAGACTTACTGAGTTTTCAAAATATGTACTTAACCTAGTATCAAACGTTTCCAGAGTCCTGCAAATTTAATCTTACCTGACTTGCCATTTATTAATAATATCATAGGGTGCACTAATTAAACACATCCTACTCTTTGTCATAAAACAAGTTCTACAATTTTATTCTTCTTCCAAATTAATTTGTATGTGCACCTAAAGCAAAATTTTCATTTTAGTATTCCATTTATACTTTAAAATGTCTCAGTATCAGATTAAACTATAAAATAAATCACTCGCTCATATGAAACCATTCAGTAATTCACAGCTTCCGCTCACTGCATTTTACTTTTTAAGAGACTGAAATTCGTACCAATGAAAATTTCATGAGCAAAATTGGTAGAATGGTTTTATAAATATATTGGAAATACATGTACCAAAGACAATGTATGAAATGAAAATGAGTATTTGATTATCTATTATGACATATTTTAAATTAAAAAATAAACTTCAACAAAATTTTAAATATGTGTAATTAAATCCAAATTCTGATTTTGTAACTTTTTTTCCTTTTAATTGTAATTTTACAGTTCTGGGGATCAAACTTTGAGACTCAAGCACGAACTCTACAACTAGACTAAAAGGCGACTTTTAAATGAAGAAGAAACCCTAGCTACCATTACCAATTCATCTCCATACCAAGATCTCTTTATATATAATTTAGAAAGTGCTAAATGAAATTCCCCATTATAAAGTTTATGACATTATGCTTCTGCGAACTCTTCAATCATGTGAGACAGTAGACTATTGCCTGTTAATGAATGCCTAGATCACCTGTACATTTACAAACCCTTACAGCTCAATTGTTTCAAATTTGCCAAAGTTACAAGACAAATACATTCAAATAAGTTCAAAATAGATAAGCATAACCACAAAATACTTGTTATCCCAGTAAAATAAATAGCATAAACAACCTGTGTCTTTAAAGAATACACTTAAAGGAAAACCAATTTAAAAAGTTGCAAACAGAAGCCAGGTACGTGTGTTTTTCTATGTGTGTCTGTGTGTGCATATGTATTATATATGTGTATTTTTCTACCCATTATCCAAAGTTTCATATTCAACACTTCTTCCTTTTTGCTTTAAAGTAATATATAAAAGTTGCCTTTAGAACACATCTTCTCCCATGACCCTTTCCCACTAAGAGTGGTTTCTTTTTTTATTTTATTGATTTTTATTGAGCGCTACATTTTTCTTTTAATAGCTAGTCACTCAAAATTTTATACTGGGAAGCTAGTTTTCTTAAATGATACAAAGAAGTCATTCATTTCTGATTTGTGTGTTACTATGTACATGCAGTGTAGAAAGCAGAAGGTGGCATATGTCACCCGAGCAGTCACCTGTAACATTTAAGTATAACACCTTCTGTCAATCATGTCACTGGACTTTTAAGTTCACTTATAGTTCATATGTCCATCCATTACAATGCTGGAAGTTCTGTGGATAGCATAAGTACCTATGTGAATCCAAACATGTTTCCTGTAAGAATGTAAAAGATGATTACAGAAAGGAAATGGGAAATGCTGGTGAGCTCTTCCTAGATGTCAGTTAGTCAGGATGATAGTGTATCACACAGCACATCAGTGTTAGACAGGAAGCAGCTGCAATGAACGTTATCATTTTAGCATTCACTGAGACTTTAAGGGAGCTAAATCTGATAAACTTAGGCCCTGTGTTGTTCGTGTTATGGTATTTCTATGATGAAACATCATGTCCAAAAGCAAGTTGGGGAGGGGAGGGATTTATTTGGCTTACACTTCCACACTATAGTCCATCAATGAAGGAAGTAAGGACAGAAATGCAAGTGTTGGAGTCTAAATTCAGGGGCGAAGGCAGAGGCTGTAGGGGACTGTTGTTACTCATGACTTTCTCAGTCTGCTTTTTTTATTAAATCCAAAACTACCAGCCCAGGGACAGCACCAGCCACAATGAGCTGGGCCTTTCTCATCAGTCACTAAATAAAAATATACCCTAGAGCCCAACCTTATAGAGACACTTTCTCAATTTATTTTCCCTTCTTTCAAATGACTCTAGCTTGTATGATGTTGACCTCAAATTAGCCAGCACATGCATGCTTCTCATAAAATCTCACCACATTTAGATAAATCAAAGAGTGACAAAAATCCACCAACGGACCATTTGCTAACATAAATTGAATATTACTTATTATTTAATTTATATACTTTGAATTTTGTTTCTCAATCCTGAAGTGACAAGGAAACCATCTGGAGTCAGTTGCTCCATAAAAACTTTGATGTTCCAATACATCAAGCCCCTCTTATCACTTAAACTTTATCCTTTCAATCTTAGGAAATTGTTCAGTGGTTAAGCACTTGCCCCTCAAACATTCAGAACACAGTTTAGGTCCCTAGAACCTACAAAAATATCTGTCAGACACTGTGCTCGCCTGTAATTCTATATTTAAAAGAAGGACACAGGGACCAGAGCAAGCTAGCTAATAAGAATGGTTAGAGAAATGATTTTTGGCTTTTCATAAGAGACCAGACCCTACCTCATGGAAAAGGTCAAAGAGCAGTTGAGGGTTGCTCCTAAAATTCATTGTGGGCCTCTACAGACACATACATGCTACACACCACTAAAATGGAAAAATAAAAATTATAGCTCTAATGACTTGAGAACTTGTTCCTTAGCAGTCCAAAACACTTTCGAGTTGAGTAGGAAAGAAACGTTATAGAGAATAAGTACAAAACATAGCATGCTGTAGTTTTCCTGTGTAAAAATCAAATACTATAAAACTCAAATCCAATACTCAGCTTTAGAATTATTAATTCTCAGTCGCAGACTATTATTAGAATAGAAATTATTCATGATTTCAAAAAATTACTGTTTTTCATCTTTTGCAAAGTGAATTGAACCTAGGGTACCGTGTATGCTAGGCAGGTGTTAACCAGTAAGCCACACCCTAATTCTTTATTTCTGTGTCACCAGTTTGAACATAGATTAATTATTTGAGAAATTACCATTTCAAGCCACCTGATCATTCCGAATATCAACGTTACACTGTTTCAACAAGCCTCAATATATGACATGTAGCAAACAGTAACTCTTTATGAAATGAAATTCTTACATCTAATGATGGTCTAACTTACCGGTGGATCCGCCCCTTTAGAACCAGCCAGCCCTCCTGTTAGTGATTCGATGTCCTGAAAAAGAGAAAAGGGATTATTTTAAATACTCAAAATAGCAATATCCAGGCTCACAGTGTATTGTCATTGGCAGAAAATCTTGGATGCTACAGTTATTTTTTTTTCCTGATGATAGTGGATTACACAAAATTATTAAATAGACTACATATAAATAGTTAATTATTTTCTCTAACTTTTCATAATGTGTAAAAGGAAAAATAAAGGTAAGCGGGTGAATGCTGTAGGAATAGGAAAAGAAAATGGCTGTAGACAGGAAGACAGATGCTTTATCTTAAAGAGCAAAAGGGTATCCAACGCAGAGAAGGAAATAACCTCAATCAATGTATTATTCTTCAGAACATTACTTCGCCATGGTACTGTATCCACAAAACTTTTAAATTGTCTATGGTTCACTCTGTAATGCATGCATAAAATGCTAGGCGATGTGGGTAGCTTTGGTGTTCTTGCAAGAAGATTAATTCTTAATGTTGAATTAACATTAACAGAAGATAACGCATCGGAAATGATTCTACTTGTCAGAGTTATTATGAGTGCAGAAATGAAAGATGCTATCATGAATTTCAGAGGCAGCGATTTATAGAAATGAGTTCTAAGGCTTGATGTAATTGATACCAATCTCATAACTTTTCAGAATAAACTGGAGTGGCAGATTTTAAAATAAAATCTCGCATGATTGTAATCTTTCTTTCTCTCTCTTTCTCTCTCTCTCTCTTTCTCTTACACACACACACACACACACACACACACACACACACACACACGTCTGCTCAAAGGTATCCTGCTACTAGCCATACTTGACACCGGCACCCTAACAAACAGATGAAATCTTTGAAATATATTGACTTAATTGGACCTTAGGTTTGAGTTACTGTCATATAACATCAAAGGCAGACCCTGTCCCCGATCTTGCTGTAACCTGATTATCTGATGTTTCCGCCAATGTTTTACACATTGTCTTTACAATGTTTTACAAATGTCTTGATTTATGACTTTATTTTTTCTGTTATGTTAAAAACTCCATGGAATTGTTTCCACATTGCAACATATAACCCAGGCAACACAGAATTTGGGGATTAGTCCAGCCTCAAAGTGATCAAAGTCCTACTAGACTTTGTTGACTCCCCATGAGAAGCCTTAATGTCTCAAGCAGTAGATGGGGAGGTAGAGTGGGGGAATGGTGGGGGAAGCCAGAGAAAGAGAGGGAGTAGGAACTGGGATTGATACGAAAAATGAGAAAATGTTGTTTAAAAAAATAAAAATAAATAAAAAGAAAATATATCTGGAAATATTCAATCATAGGAAAGAGATACATAATTAAAAATAATCTCATACTAAAGGCAATTCAAAGGAAGAAATTAAAATTATGAATAATGTCTTAATTAGGTCTGTTAATGTTATGATTAAATGCCATGACCAAAGTAACTTAGGGAGGAAAGGGTTTATTTGGCTTAAATCTGGTATTACTGTTAATCATTGAAGGAAATCAAGATAGGAATTCAAACAGGAGAAACCTGCAGGCAGGCACTGATACAAGAGACCATAGAGAGGTGTTGCTTACTGGCTTGCCTCGCCCATGGTTTGCTGAGCCTGCTTTATTAAGGAAACCAAGGAAACCAGCCCAGGGATGGCAACACCCACAATGGGTCGGGCTCTCCTCTATCAATCACTAATTAAGCAATTGCCTAAAACCCAGCATTTTGGAGGCAATTTATTACCTGTAATTCCCTCCTCTTAGGTGAATTTAGCTGACGTCAAGTTCACACAAAACTATCCAGCACAAATAACCTATCGAATTTATTTTCACCCAAATCACATAACCCAGATTACCTTCATAAATGGTAGCAGTTTTTAATTGAACATAAAATGTTACTTTCTCAGAAGTCACGTCATATAACATAAAAATACTTAAAGCATGGTAATAAATATTTCCATTAATAAACAGTGTAAATAATCAGATTTAGGGGTGTGATAAGATAATATTTTATAACTATTTATTTTATTTAAAAACAATCTTTTCTCATTTTACATACCAATCTCAGTTCCTACTCTCCCCTCTCCTCCCATTCCTTCTACTTTCCTCCCACCCCACCCACAACCCAATCTTCAGAGAGGGAAAGACTTCCCATGAGAAGTCAACAAATTTTTAATCCTAAAATTATATGCTGAAATCACCAATCCCTACTGCCTAAATATCTAAAAATAATTGCACATAAATTTTTCATATAGTGATTCAAGAGAATAATCTGATATCCTCATAAACGAGAAAGAGATGAGGATAGAGGCATACTGGAAGTGGTCTACAGAAAGGCACCGAACAGTGTCTACTTGAAAGCTAAGGGGTGAGGCCGCAGAGGAAACCTACGCTGGTATCACACTGATGTCAGAGATCTAGCTCCCAACACTGTCTGAAAAAGTATTCTGTTTGAGCCATGTTATGCAAGATGTTGTATATTGTTGTGGAAAATAGTAAACTAATGTAGGCATATTTATAATTTGGTACCATAGCATACCATATATAGTTTTATAGCATATTATACTACATAGCAGGGATTCTTTGGGAAATGGCATCATATTTTAATATGGAGTATATTAGAGAGCTTTAAGCATCCCTTCTAAAACCTATTGACAGCAGTGGAGTTTACCTAAGTAGTAATAACTGTGTCTTATCACATACTTACTCTTGAATATTACTTCATAATAATACTTAAGGCAATATCACAATTGAATATTTCTTGTTTTTTAAAGAATTCTTTCAAATTTCACCTCTGTCCCATTTCCTGTTGACAGCATTTGCAGTACATTATTCGACACCTTCCATCAAAGTTCCCAATGACATATTATTTTTTAAATTAAATGGTCAACATTCTTTCAACCATCTTCTTGATCATTAAGTTATATTGGCATGATTAAATGCTCCATCCTTGAAATTCTTATATTTTCCCTGTTGAATTTCATTGTCTTTAATTCTTTATATAATTTTATTTAGTAGTATGATTCTAAATGTTACTCATGCTAATGAGATACTTTTTAAAGTTTATTATCGTATTTATTTTATTATTACTGTGTGTATGTGTGGGTCTCTCTGTGTGTTTGCATATATGCAGATGACCACTGATGCCAAAAGAGCACTTCAACTCTCTTGGACCTGGTGTTAGAGATGATCGTGAGCCTTTCAACATGAGCAGGTGCTGGGAACTGAACTCTGTCCCTCCTTTAAGAGCAACAATCACTCTTAATTCCTGAGTCATCTCTCCAGTCCCAAGACATTCCGAATTCTACTTTCACTCTCTGCTTATCCTCTGATGTTCATACAATCTGATCAATTTATATTTGAATATCTCTGTGGTTAGATATTCAAGCTCTATTAAGTTGATGAAACATCCAATCAAGTTTTCACCCCCACTTCTCCAAACTGGTGTACCTGATTCAATGACTAGAGACACCACTAGCTGCTTAGGTTCAAATCTATCATCCAATCCTACCACAAACGTCTTAACAGAAGAAGTTTAACTTAGCTACCTCTCACTACCCCTAGTATCCTAATCTCTTGGGATAATTGAACAAACAGTATCTAAGTAAGCACCAATTCAATTGTTACTTACAAATCTGTTCTTATCTTCCATTTCATCTTACATTCTCTATTTTGAGTTCAAATTTGATTAACTAAATTTTTACCCCAAACCAACATAAGGTTTTTCAAAAATCTTAGAATAAAACTCAGCTTTTTTAGTATGCTCTGCCTTTCTCTACGTAGTTTCAATTCAGACACTTTCTCTAGTATCATCTTTTGTGATGCTCCCTGCCTCTTGTGCTATTCAAATCATGTTAGTTTTCACTAGTGTACTAATAAATAACCAATACAAACATTACTTCTAAACCAGAACCTTTGCATATATTTCTTATTCTGTTCAAAGTGCACAATCCTCAAGCATCTTTTTAGTTCATTAAATGACTCACTTTATTTAACCAAAGTAACAAGATTAACTACCAAACTACCAAAATGAATTTGTTTAAATCAGCCAAGGTTTCACTTAGGGTAAGAAACATGAAACTCAAAGAAGTTACAGAAACGTGTATAATGAAGGGGCAATTAATAGAGGCCTGAATAATTTGGCAGATCCAGGAGAAAGGGAAATAACTGGGACTGAGAGTAGCAGAAAGTTATGTAACGCTTCAATATAAAAGAATAAAATACAAGAATAGTGCTGTTTGTCAATGTCCAGCAAACGATGAATGCCACCCTGAAGCCTCCAGCGAGATTACCACACAGTAGAGCTCAGTAAGCATTTAGTGAATGCAGAACGACTGAGCAAATGAATAAAGCCTGTGATATCATTCTGATAAAATCTCTGAAGCTTGCCGTATGTGTGGTAAAACATTTCTTATTTTTATAAAAATGCATTACTTGGAAATCATAGCACGGGGCAATAGTGTTTGCCCAATGTGTCTTCATAAAATTCAGAAATGAACAAAATAATGAATTACGTACCCAAGATCCCACAGCTGGCGAATGTAGGAAAAAGCTGTTGAAAGCAGTGTTATAACCTCAAGCTTAGTTGCCTTTGGATTCTATCATATATCACTAATGAGACACCCACTTAAGGGATTAGCCCTCAGCTGTGGGATGTCATATTGAGGCATTATATTTCTATACATACTAAGGTTTTTAGCTCATATGAAGGGATGAAATGAAAACAAAACAAAAACCTAGATAACACACATGCAATACATTTTCTCCAGATGAAAACATTGGCTATGGACATGATACCTATAACATTTTACAATGAATGAATCAATGTTTGGGGCATTAGTAAAGGTGCCTAGCATAAGGAAATACTTCAGAGTTGTTAAACATCAATAATGTTTACTTTTCTGTAATATTTTTTGTAAGTTCACAGTAGAAGGAATGGGTAAGAGAGGACAATTTTTTTTTCTTTTAGGGAATTCTTCAGTTTTCACATGTTTAATGGAAACAATCTTTCACTAAAAAGAAATGT